AGGACACTTTGGAAGAAACTTCATCAAGAGAAACAAGAGGTCCAAGTCTAGGAACTGCCTTCAAGATTGCCGTATCAGTTTTTGCTGGGTCCTGCTTGTCTTCTGTCTGTCTGAGGTGACAACAGCAGCAGGGCAGCTGTGTGAGGCTGGGTGTCTGTGTGTGCAGCTGGGGGTGAGGGCTAAGGAGGAAGAGGAAGAAATCATTACTCTCTCCTTCTCCCAGGGCAGTGAGAAATGTGCAATGTGGCATCCACTCTCACTAATTGAGCCCTCAGTCCTGACATCAGGAAGACTTAAATAAATAAATAAATAAATAAAAGATCTGATTGCAGGAAAGTGGATTCGCAGCCGCCAGACCATCAACTGTGAGTTAAAAACCTCCATCTTGGGCCCAGCGTGGTGGCCTAATGGCTAAAGTCCTCGCCTTGCATGCACTGGGACCCCATTAGGATGCCAGTTCTAATCCCAGTGGCACCTCTTCCCATCTAGCTCCCTGCTTGTAGCCTGGGAAAGCAGTTGAGGACGGCCCAAAGCCTTGGGACTCTGCACCCACATGGGAGACCCTGGCTTCGGATTGCCTTAGCTGCAGCCGTTGTGACGACTTGGGAAGTGAACCAGCGAACAGAAGGTCTTCCTCTCTGCCTCTCCTCCTCTCTATATATCTGACTTTCTAATAAAAATTAAATCTCTAAAAAAAAAAAAAAAAAAAAAAAAACCTCCATCTTGCAAATACTGGACAGCCAGACAGCATGTGGAAAATCCGAGCTCACAAACACATCTGTAAGTTTCAGGTCCTGCAAGCCTGAGGAACCTCAACAAAAGCTGCACAGAGAGCCCTGCTAAAAAAAAAAACCCAGAGGCCAGAGCGAGACATCTCCCTCTCGCCCGCATACACATGTCCCAGCCCTGCAGCCTCAGGCAGGCTCTTCTCCAGTGGCCCGGGGAATCTCCCTGGAGACCCCACCTGGAGCAGCCCAAGACCCATTTCCATACTGCCTTCCCAGTTTCTTCTTCCAGAAGCTTTCAGCATCTAAATTTCCCCAAATCCACTGTCTGGACTTCCTTCTTGGACCACAGTCCACTCTGTTGGCCTGGTCAGTCCCTCTCATCAGCCACTCAGGCTTCCTGCACCATTTTCCCTTGCCTGACCACTGGGAAGTGTCCAGGTCAATGTGACACCTGTGGCAAGGAGGACAAAGGCAGAGGCACCTGGGACAGTCTATGTGGGTCCTGGGGTTGCACAAAGACTTCTCCAAACACTGCCACTGCAGAATGAACTGCAGGAGAAGAAAAGCTTGTGGGAGCAGGTCCTAGAAGAGGAGTGGGCAGCAGTGTAGTGCAGTCTGCCGCAGTGCCAGCCTGTTTCCCCAGGCACTGGTGATCATGTTGTGTCATACTCAAAGCATTAGATTTGACAACTCAGGTAGACAGCAGCCTTCACCAAGCTCACTTTCTGCAGCTGCCTATCCCTTCCTCTGGCCAGTCAGTGCCACTTGCCTGTCCTGGTCTGGCTCTGGAGGCAGCAGGAGGATCTGGATCAGGAGTTTAGCACACCCAGATCCCACAGAGGCAGAACCAAGTGAACTGCTCATCAGGGTCACTGGGAATGATGGAAAGCAGCAGCAAACGGGAAAGCAGGTGGCCACACCAAGTGGATGGCCAGGCTTGAGTGGACTGAGGATGTGGGTCGTAGGCCCAGGAGGTGATGCGGCTTTTCCAACGGTGAGGAAGAGAAAAAGGGTGCCCACAGTACTTTACCAGCAATCAACATGCAAGCTCATTTCCTCTGAGTGGATTTTTCTCTTCCCATTTGGGTTAATCAGCTGACCCCAAGCCTACAGATGCTCTTACCCTTTCACCTCTGACCCTGGAGTAAAGGAGCTCACAGTCCAGCAACTAAGTCTCCCGTGGGTGGGATGCACTTTTCAAAAACCATAAGGTCATGTTTAACTACGCTGTGCTTTTTCTTATTTGGAAATGTTTTCCACATTGATGATGGATGATCAAATGCTTGATGAAAAGTATATCATGCAAAATTTTAATCAAAGGCTATATATTTACCAGAAGCTATTTTAAGGATAGGGGAAAAAAAATCAAATTTCTTCCCTTTGGCAAAAAAAAAAAAAAAAGAAAAAGCCCCTACTGATAAAAATCATAGAATGCAAGATTTCATGATCAAATTATAAACAATATCTAATTATAAAACAATAACCAATCATGTTTTTATTTCCAACACTTGATCACAAGCATTTGTTTATTAATAGCTTCTTCTTTTTGAAGAGGCTTTCTGCAACCTCTTCTCAGCTCGCATGATCAATATCTGTCCCCTGGAAACCGGCACAAATGCTGTGCTTCCTAATCATGCCAGCGTCCCCGGCCACACTTAGTGCCCCCAGCCTCAGCTGTGACAGATGCGCAACCTGCCCCTGGTTAAAAATATCTGTCAGAGATGTCAGAAATGGCCCATGTTCTCTGCCCGCTTAATAGCCCATTAGGCGACTTCATGAAAGAGGCAGATGCATCCCTCCCCGGAGGGGAGCCTCAGGTACACCAACACCACGTGCTGGAGACCTTTACAGAAATCAATCGTTGAGATGGCTTTTATCGGTTAAAAATAGATCTGTCAGCACCCCTGGTCACAGCACCAGCCACACGCCAGATTTGTAAAACGCAACAGCACTCCAGTTAGAGAATGAGGACTCAGGGGACCCACAGGGCTCAAAGGAGGCCCACGAACCTGGACTGGAGCTGCTCCCCTCGGCCTGCCCTGCTGCCATGTGACATGTTTCCATGGATGCCTCAATGGGTTCTCTCTTTGAATTCAGGATATTTACAGCAGGGCTAGCCAAAAGAGCTGCCAGGTTTCCCTTGAAGTGTGTCTGTACAATTTACACCGAAAATAACTCTTCGGCTGAAAAATTTCCACCAACTCTCATAATTGCTCGAAGCAATCCTCCTTATTGTAATGATCACTTCGCCTTACAGTATGAATGTCTCTCTCCTCTGCCCCTAAACTTACGGGAGAGCCCTACGGTCAACACCCACCACACATCAAGGAATTCTGTAACATTGCTTCAGTTGGGTTCATTTGAAGCACAGCTGACACATCAATATCATCTTCCTTCTTAAGATCCTGAATTCCTAAAAAAAGTTAGACTTGCAAAGATATCAACAGGACTTTTATCCTAAACATCCTTTTTAGACTCCTAGTAATTAACTACCATAGATCCAACCTTTGTGGGAAATCAACAGAAACTGTCCTGTACTTTTATATTTGGTTTCTTAGATGTTGACCTCCAAAGAGAAATGGATGGCCCCAATTATTCGTGCCTCCAAGGTAAATGTAATATCAAAATTAGAGAAATATGTAGCTTAGCACTGACACCTAGCACATGGGAATGCTCTTGGATCATTGGCTGGCTGTCCCCATGTACCGCCTCGAGCATGCAGGAGCAATAGTGAGGTTTACGCTGGCCCATCTGCCGCCCCTCTTCTAGCTCTATCATCTTGGGGCCACAGCGTTTAGTAACAATCACCTGGACATTCAGCCAGAAGTTTTCTTTTGAAATTAATGAATGATTATTCTTTTTAGTTTAATTTTACATACATACACTCTCCCTCTCCCACCCCCTTCTCTCTCCATGTCTATCTCTCTCTCTCACACATACACATACACACACACACACACACACACACACACACACACACACACACACACACACACTTTCCCCTCCCATATACCAAGCTGTGGCTGTCTAATTAAAGCCTAATCAAAACATGGGCCAATGTACTTAAGAGTGACTTGGCAACAATAAAGAGAAGAAAAATGTTTTTCCCCTGAAGCTGCCTTCTTCAAAGTTTACCCACTAAGGGATACTTAATGGAAAACAACAAAAGAATCCTCATTTGAATATACATGGAAACTGAACCTGAGCCTTGAGACATTCCATTAAAAAAAAAGCCAGAAGATGAATGTGTGACAAAAGCAAGGAGGCAGCATGGAGCTGAGAAAACAAAAAAGTGTCAGCATTAACAAGCACGCCAGCAGGGCCTGGTGTGCTAGCCTAGTGGATAAAAGTCCTCTCCTTGTACCAGGATCCCACATGGAAGCCAGTTCTAATCCCAGCAGTCCCGCTTCCCATCCAGCTCCTTGCTTGTGGCCTGGGAAAGCAGTCAAGAATGGCTCCAGGCTTTGGTACCCTACACCTGGAAGAAACTCCTGGCTCTTGGCTTTGGATCGGCTCAGCTCCAGTCTTTGAGGTCACTTGGGGAGTGAATCATCAGGTGAAAGATGCTCTTCTGTCTCTCCTTTCTATATATATGACTTTGCAATAAAAATAAGTAAGTCTTTAAAAAAATAAGAAGAAGCGTGCCAGCAAAGAGGGCCCTGGCTTAGACACGTGGTGATCCCCACTGAGCAGAAGGATGAGAACAGCCAATAACTCAGTTTGCCTCTTTAGTCATATTCTGTGATGTACGCCTCTGACGATCACAAGCCAAGAAACCCCCTAACTGACCAGCTTAAATATGTTGCTCTTTGCCAAGCAATTACATACAAATCTAGGTCCCAAAGTCTACTACCAGAAGGTTAACAAACAAGATTCAGCCCCTTCAAGCCAATTCCCAGTGCAATGCAGTTTGTAACCACCAGCTGGTCCCCCACCCTTCACAAATGACAACATGCATGGTCAACAGGTGGCTACAATAATATTGGAAGCAACTGGGAGACATGCTAGAATCATGTCCCAAGCATTGGTTTAGCTAGGTAGGTGAAATCTGACATAAGATGTTTTTGGTTTTTTTCGTTTTAGAAGCCAACTCTCCAAATCTATAAAGTAATCCAAACCAGAGTAGGCCATTGATATCCACAGATACTGGCACTCTGTGAGCCCCCATGACATTCTGAGAGTGTACACATATCTCATAAGTAGGAACCTCCAGTCAGCCAAAAATGACATCATGGCAGAGAGCCACAGCCAAAGAAAGCCAGGTGCACTTACGCAGAGCGTGCCACTCGTCCTGCCGGATGGTCTTCGTGATGTTGTACGTGAGGTTCCTGGGGATGGTTGCTGAGGAATAGTGGTATTTGATGTACGTGCATCTCTCAATTTCACCTGAAAAAGACAGACAGGACACCAAATGTTAACGAGGCAACCACCTGATATAGAACAGCTCTGGGATCCATGTTTCTATTCTGGAGAAAGGGGCTGGTTTCACACTGGACCTGTAAACACCTAACATTCCTACAAGGCAATAACTTCCATTCAAAAAGAGCAAGAGGGTTTAGCAGCACTTGCTTAGATCCTGCAGAGGTGGCAAGAGTCAAAGTTTCAACTGAGGGCAGCTCACTAAGCAAATTATACCAGTGTGGCTTAACCTTCCTATGGAAATCAACTCTTCAATCAGAAGAGTAAGTTTAACATGAAACACATTCACTGGTTCCACCTGAGAACCGACAGGCAGCAAACAGGTTCTAACAACGTTGCTTGTGCTGTTGGGACAGTCTCCTGGAAAGGTGAGGAGCAGGTGGAATTCTGCTTTTCCTCCATCCTTCCTGTTGTGGTTTGAGTGCTCCCACCCAAGCTTATGTTGAAATTTCATGTTTGTTGTAGGGTAGATGAGGTCATTCAGGGGTGGGAAGCCAATGGGATGGGACATTTTAAGGAGAGGAGGGACCTGCGCCAGGACACTAAGTCCCATAAAATGATACCCTGGACGGCCTGCGTACTCCACAGTCACCACCCGCACAAAGCATCTCATTTGATGCTGTTGCCTCTTCTTGAATTTCCAAACTCCACTCCATGAGCCAAAGACGCCTATATTCTTTATAAGTTTCTCAGGCCTCGGCATTTGTTGTAGTAACAGCAGGCAGGCTTAGACACTCCCCTAACCTTGCCTCTAAGCACAAAGCACCCACCAGCTGCTTCTCATGTTTCTTGGACTGTGAACACCCTCAACACCTAGTCCACTAAGACCTTTGTAGACAGCTCCTAAATGTCTACGCACACTCTGCAGCTCAAAGGATGCAAATACACTCACATCTTAGAGGAGAGGTTCTCACGTGCTATCCCAGGCCATCAGCATTGGCATCCCCTGGGAATTCACTGGGAATACACCTTCTCAGGCCCACCCTCAGACCCACTAAGTCAGAAACTAAGAGGGAGAGCCTGGTGATCTGAACTTTCACTACGACCTCCAGCTGATTCTGCCACATTCCTGGTTCTCACACTGGAATGTATTCATCAAAAAAGTTACCAATCATGCACATTCCAAAAGATAGGGCCCATCAGGAAGTCTTTCCTACTTATATTTTACCTTCTATAGGCTCTTTACTGATGTTTGCTTATTTGGAGAATATTAAAACTCAATGTCAGGGCATCGTGAAGAATCAGAAAAGGAGTGATTTTTAAAAGTTAGGGGCTTTGAAATTTGGTTTTGCACCTGGATGGATTTTGGTGGTAATCCATTTTGCACCCCACTGATTTTCAATTTATAACTGGTGGCACCTGACTGAATTGTTTGACCCCACCCCCGGCCCATTGTCAGCAGGGAACCTGGAAATTGGTGAAGTGCAATAATTTAGACGTTGCTTTATGAAACCGATGCCTTATTGTAAATTGTATCTGGACACGTGCCCAGTTGCCAATTATCGACAGACACTCCTCCAATGGGGACAGATACTGTCCAAAAAGGCAAAGTTGTAGAAAGTCGTGTGCGCTGCTCTCCTGCATCTTCAGTTTTTCAACTCCTCTGCTTCTGCCCCGTAGCCCACAAGCGTCCTGCAGCCTCTCACATGCCCCCGCCTCCTGCTCCATGCCTCCTGCTCCAGCACATCTCCAGCCTCCTCCTTTAATTTGCTAAACTTGTGGAAAAGCAGTCTTCCAGACAGTCTCCACTTGCTCATCTCAGATTCGTCCCTCAAGCCTGCACACTCTAATTTCCATATTATCCCCATGAACAGCATCCGGATAAACATCCAGGATTCATCATCATTGCAATGATTCCTCCCACAGGGGTGCTCCCCTCCTTCCTGACATCCGACTGGTCATCAAATGCTGTCAGTTCTACCTCAGAAATGACCCTGGAGTCCAGATCCTTCTCCCAGCCCCATGCCCACCTTAGTAGTTGTGCTGATAGGGCTGTACCCCTCCCTCTCCACCTGCCTTTCCTTATTAACACCTCCTCATCTAACGGGGCCCTGACTCCTCTGCCAGGCCTCCCTTACACCTGGGACAGCCCAGCAGTGGCTGCCCAGCCCAGCTCCTTGTCTCTCCTTTGCTGCTCTTCCCAGCTCCTGTCCCTACTGCTGCCAACACCAACAGGCTGTGATTTATCTGTTTACACGCCTCAGTCCCCCCTCGATTATGAGTTTCTCAAGGGCAGAGATGCTGTCTTATTCATTCATCTTTATCTCACCAGCCCCTAAGCGCAAGGTGAACACCGATAACATGTGCTTTGAAGAAAGGAATGAATAAATAGGAGGTGCCCTTTGGAAGACCACAGTGAGCCAAGAATCCAGCTGCTTTTCTTGCAACAAGACATTTAAATAATTGGTGTGTAGTTCATGAATGGAGGGGACCAGGGCAGATCCCACTTCCTTGTCTGGACAACGGAAGGGGAGGCTTATTCAGCAGTGGTGGTGAGAGGGAGGGCAAGGTGGTAGAAGCAAGCAGCACATGATCAAGGAACAGTGTCTCGCTGTACTTAGTAAACAACATAAGAGGGGCAACCAGGTGAAGGTTTCTAGAATAAAAAGGAAGGAAGAAAGGAGAGAGGAGAGGGTGATCTAGTAGGAGGAGGAACATGAAAACCATTAGCAATAGGGCAGGCCTGTGGCACAGTGTGTTAAGGCACTACTTGGGTGTCGACAGTCCACTTTCAGATGCCTGGGGTTGAGTCCCACCTCTATTTCTGATCCAACTCCCTGCAATGGGCACCTGGAAGGCAGTGCATGGTAAGCCAAGAACTTGAGCCCCTGCTACTGACAGACAGACCAGGATGCAGCTGAGTATAAGATTTTTTATTTGTGTTACTTTGAAAAAAAATTTAAAAAAAACCACCGATGGCAAGTGCCTTGGACTTTGATGTTTGGACAGGTTGTGCCTTGGCCTGAGGGCACCTTGCAGGGATAACCCACAGGCTGCAATCCAGCCACTGCTCTGCCTGCAAGACATCCTGCTGGGATGAGGGAGGTTGCCCCTGCCAGAGGGCCTGTCGGCTCTAATGGCACACAAGTGTTCTATGATTCAGCAGCAGTCCCACATGGAAAAATATCAAGATCAAACAAAAACACTCTGCAGACGCATCCTCGGAGCCCCAAAGCAGATCCCTCTGGTGACAACCAGACTGGTGTCTGTCACTTGATTCCTTCACTAAGGGCAGGCGCTCTCAGTTCCCACACAAACCCAACAAGTCACTGTAGATTCCAGGCAGCTCCCTCCGCCTCTTGGAACTTCAGCCCATCTGGACAGCCAGGGAAAAGGCCACTCAACACTCACAAAAGAACAAGAAACAACCAAGCAACAGGCACAGCAGGTAGCTGGCCAGGAAGTCTTCCCAGAGGAGCACACACAGCCCCACTGGAGGCCTCACTATTTATTCTGCCTTGGGGATTGTAAGCATCCTGCCTTTGACAGCAATTAAATGCAAAAGCTTCAAATATTGCCTAGGAAAAAAGGCAAAATATTTATCCATGTGTCTGCAGGTCCTGTCAGCGCAGAGCTTTTGTAAACACTGTACCATCTGGGTATCAAATCCGTGTGCCCAGAATCTGAGTTTCCCAATACAAACTGGTTTTCCTGCATCAAACAGGACAGAGGCACTACGTGGAAGGCAATGGGAAGGCCATTATTGACAAAAAAGGGCAAATCCATGTTCACTGATGCTAGGGTCGAGCCCAGAATCTCAGCTCCACCCTCAGGAAGTCACAGCTGAGGAAGACAACTGGCTGGTAAGCAAGCTTCCTCGACTGTAGCATAGCCAGTTAAGCTATCACCTGCAGGGCTAGTATTGCATGTGGGTGCTGGTTCCAGTCCCAGTTGTTCCCTTCCAATGCAGCTCCCTGCTAATGTGCTTGGGGAAGCAGCAGAAGATAGTCCAGGTCCTTGTGTCTTTCCAATCAAAAAGGAGACACAGAAGAAGCTCCTGGCTCCAGGCTTGGGCCCGGCCCAGCCAAGACCATGGTGGCCATTTGGGAAGTGGACTAGAAGATGAAAGATCTCTTTCTCTCTGTTCTTTCTATAACTCTGCCTTTCAAATAAATAAAGAAGAATTCTTTTAAAAAGAGAGAAGACAGAGATAACCTGTGACCTTACACCCTCCGTCTTCTGATCTCTTATCTGTCAAGATCCCAGCAAGGCAAAGCACATCTAAACAGCTCATTAAAGAGAATTTCAAGAAAAGACCATTTAATTCAATAGAAAAAAAAAGTGAATGGATATTTCCACAATAAAATTATCTTTTTTTAAAACTTGTATACTTTCTTTTTTTAATTTTGAATTTTATGGTACAATTCCATAGGGTTTGGGAGTTCCCTACCCGCTCCCCAAACTCTCACCCCCTGATTTTCCCCCATGTTAGCACAATAGTAAAGTCCTTCATAAGTAGTGATAAACCCATCAGCCTGTTATTTAAGTGTGCTCCCATATTGCTGGCACAGGCAATATCAATCTAGATATGTTCCACAGTTTCACTGGGAGTGATGGTTTCATTCCTTTTTCTCCATTTCAAGACCCAAGGCACGTGCAGGGTAACTTGAGCCAACTGCTAAGAGTGATCACCGTGTTATTATTCTCTTATCACTGTGAAACATGTCTACATTATGCTTCAGATATAGATTTAGGTCTGTAAAGGGGAACTTCTTCATATGTAGTGACCCCAGAAGGCTGGCAGACAAGAGCTCTGACATACAGTGAACACAGAAAGAGGCAGGACCTGGGAGAGGGCGGTGACAGGGATGGCACAGGACGGCACAGAAGCTTCAGTGTGCTGTGCTTCACCGATTCCCATTACACCTGACAGCCTCGCCCACGGACAGCTCCCTTCTCACAGGGACCAGATTCCAGCGATGTTGAGCTGCCTGTCTTTCCGGTAGGACTCTATCATTTAAGATATA